CTTCCATCATTCATATATATTCGAGACTTTCTAGTATGGACTTTTTTTTTTTTTTTTGAGACAAGATCTCACTTATCCCAGGCTGGAGTATAGTAGTGCGATCTTAGCCCCACTGTTAGCCTCGAATTCCAGGGCTCAAGAATCCTCCTGTTCTCGTCTCCCAAACAGCTGGGGGCGCTACAGGTGTGTGCCACCATGCCCGGGCTAAGTGTATTTTTTATTTTTTGGTAGGATGGGGTCTTGCTGTGTTGCCCAGGCTGGTCTTGAACTCCCTGAGGTCAAGCCAATCCTCCCACACTCAACTTCCCAAAGTGCTGAGATACAGGTGTGAGCCACAGCACTCCGCCCCTAAGTGACTTTCAAGTACAGACAATTAATTTTGATGTCAGAATCCACACTTTATTAACATAACCACAGAATAGCATCACAAGGTTTGTGTTCTTTTTGTTTAGGTATGTCTTACTGAAAGAAGCAGAATATGATTACAAAGAATAATCCTATATACATAACTATCTTTGCTTATCCATTTGTTCAATAAACTTTTCATCTGCCACATGTATTAAGTGCAAAGATAGTTACAAAGAGGCATAAAATATAGTCCTTACATTCTGAGTGGAGAGTAGAGAAGGCAGATGGAAGATAAATAACATTTGTTGAGTACCTATTATATGCCAGACAATGTGTTAACCATTTTATATACACTAATTTCATCTAGTTTTCACAACCGCCTTCTGAGGTTGGCATTATTTCCACTTACTAAACAAAGAAGCTAAGGCTGAGAGAAGTAAGGTATTCTGGGTCATACAGGTAATTCAAGATTCAAATCCCTGATCTCTGTGTACAAAATCCATTCTATTTTAACTCCACCATGCTGCTTCTGAAACTGTAATGTATGTGGGATAATAAGTGGGACAGGCAATAAGTACCAGAAGAATTAAGTGGGGGAGATGAGAAACATCTCTTCTAGCTAAGATGACCAGGGAAAGATTCATAGAGGAGATGCAGTTTATCATAGAAGGGAGAGCACAGCAAACATAATCAAAGGTACTGAAGCAGCAGAGCTAAACTGAAGACAGATTTTCTGAATACATCTATTTGAGAATAAGAGTTAGGGCCGAGTACAGCGGCTCACACCTGTAATCCCAGCACTTTCAGAGGCTGAGGTGGGTGGATCACTTGAAGTCAGGAGTTTGAGACCAGCCTGGCCAACATGGTGAAACCCCATGTCTACTAAAATACAAAAATTAGCTGGGTGTGGTGGTGTGCGCCTGTAATCCCAGCTACTCAGGAGGCTGAGGCACGAGAACCTAGAAGGCAGATGTTGCAGTGGGCTGAGATCACGCCATTGCACTCCAACCTGGGCGACAAAGTGAGACTTTGTCTCAAAAAAACAAAAACAAAAACAAAAAAGAGAAATGGCAAAACTTTGGTTGGTTGCAGCCATGAATGTTGAAATAGCCTTAACTATCCTTTCACCGATAACCCATGGCAACTAATAGTGCTTTAAAACAACTTATTTTTCTATAATGAATAAACATAGTATCAGTGGTTTTTATAAACACCTTACAATTCTTTAATTTGTCAAGAAAGATAAACAATGCATTACATCAGGGGAAAAAACATAAACGCTGGCCAGGCACGGTGGCTCATGCCTGTATATAATCCCAGCACTTTGGGAGGCCAAGAGAGGCGGATTACTTGAGGCCAGGAATTCAAGACCAGCCTAGCCAACATGATGAAACCCCGTCTCTACTAAAAATACAAAAATTTAGCTGGGCATGGCGGCGTGAGCCTGTAATCCCAGCTACTTCAGAGGCTGAGGCACGAGAATTGCTTGAACCTCGGAGGTGGAGGTTGCAGTGAGCCAAGATCACGCCACTGCATTCCAGCCTGGGTGACAGAGTGAGACTGTGTCTCAAAAAAAGAAAATAAAAAAAAGTAAATGTCTACTAGAGTCCTTAGGCAGATAACAATTATGAAGGAAGTAGACACAGTGAAAGAACCACAGGGTGCCTAAGAAGTGGTGTGTCCCTGCTCCATCTAGGAGGGGCAGTTGCTCCACAGACCAGCCAAGTTGTTGCCACGTAGGAATGCAGGGCCAGTGTTGCCAAATCACAGGTCTCGTTATTCAAGAGCCGACAGAAATAATATTTTCTGTGTGAAACTTCCCAATTTAAAAAACAATTATGGTCCAAACAAAACATATCTTTGGCCTACATATAATACATTAAAAATGCAATCCTGTCTTAAATCTTCTCAACCCTCTCTAATTCATCAGAGCCCGCCAGAAAAATCTACCTATATTCCCAATTAAATGCACCCTCCAACATGCCCTTCCAAAGCAAATACGCTAAAGATTACAGATCATGAAAACATAATAAAAAGGAGAGAATTCTAAATATAACCAATGGCTGGGCACAGTGGCTCACGCCTGTAATCCCAGGATGTTGGGAGGCCGAGGTGGGAGGATCACTTGAGCCCCAGTGAGACCAGCCTGGGCAACATAGGGAAACTCCCTCACCACAAAATGCAAAAAAATTAGCTGGGTGTGGTGATGCATACCTGTGCTCCCAGGTACTCAGGAGGCCGAGGTGGGGGATCGCTTGAGCCCAGGAGGTCAAGGCTGCAGTAAGCCATGACTGCACCACTGCACTCCAGCCAGGGCAACAGAGCGAGACCTTGTCTCAAAGAAAAAAACAAAAGCAACCAACTGTTCCCCGTTTCATTTTATTAATTGACTGAAATTGCTAGTATAAAGGATAAATTGCTTTTATTTTTTATTAATTGACTGAAATTGCTAGTATAAAGGATAAAGTATAAATTGCTAGTAGGACCAATGTAAATCACAGTAAAATTTCTGAATTCCCGACCACTTGAGAACTGTGACATTTGTCATAATCTAACCTCTGTCATATAAAATCTTTCATGATCTTAAATATCAGATTTATCATCCATAGTACTACAAAACAAATCACTTTACTCAATTTCCTATATCAGATTTAGTTTTTACCTCATTGTTACACTATAACTGCTTCAAACGTCTAGATATTAATGTACTTACTATACTTACCAAAGTTTGTGTAAATCTTCATTACTTTTGTTCCTTAGTTGCTGACAGGTCCATGCTGCTCCTATTAAAATAATATATAACATGAAATAATATTTCTAGCCATGTGCCCTTTGGCAAATTATTTAAGCTCTCTAAACCTGTCTAAACCTGTTTCCTTATCTGTAAACTATATAATAGCTTTTTTACAGTATATAACATAATGTGTAATTAGGGATAAATTAGGTAACATATGAAAATAACATTAACATGATTGGCAATAGCATTCAAAAAATGTTAGCATTAGTACAGAATGTATTTTCACACCCTAATGACAAAATACTTTATGTCATTATAAGTTAACTTTTTGGCCGGGGCAGTGGCTCAAACCTGTATTCCCAGCACTTTGGGAGGCCAAGATGGTGGGGATCACCTGAGGTCGGGAGTTCAAGACCAGCCTAACCAAGATGGCGAAGCCCCATCTCTACTAAAAATACAAAATTAGCTGGGCATGGTGGCACATGCCTGTAATCCCAGCTACTTGGGATGCTGAGGCAGGAGAATCACTGGAATCCGAGAGGCAGAGGCTGCAGTGAGCCAAGGTTGTGCCACTGCACCCCAGCCTGGGCAACAAAAGCAAAACTCCATCTCTAAATAAATAAATAAACTTCTAATTATCATTAAAAAATAAAATCTAAAATAAGCCCTAAACCTTACTTTAGTTAATAATTTCAACCTATTCCTTTTCTAACCATCTTGCCAATCTGCCAAGGAACAATTAACTCTACTATTATATGGTTCTTTTAATTTTCTCTAGTAGACAGTCTCAAAGAAAACTGAAAAAGGAAACATCTAAATAATTCCTAAACTGAATAAATAATCCTAGAATGATGGGGGGAGGTTCCATAAATATATTTAATGTTGACAAATCCAAGTATCTCACCAGATTTTACTTTTTCTTGCCCCCAGTTTTTTGGGTCATCAAAAAATTCTTCTAGTCCTTTTCTTGACAATGTGGTATGAAGTAATCTATATTGGTGAAAGGATGTCACATTTGGTGTACTCTTAGGCAACAAACCAAGAAAAAACCTGCAATTGAACACATATAAACAAGTAAAGTTTTATAATATTTGGATTTTATAAGCAGCAAACATTATCATAATAAATATAATCATTTTGTCATCTATAATGTTTTAAAAAGCTACTCAGGGTTTCTGCACAAGAATTAATTTTTTTTTTTTTCTTATTTAGAGACTTGGTCTCACTATGTTGTCCAGGCTGGTCTCGAACTCCTGGACTCGAGTGATCTTCCTACCTTGGCCTCCCAAAGTGCTGGGATTACAAGCATGAGCCACCATGCTTGGTCACAATAAATTTTGAAAATGCTTTAGAAAGTATTTTCAATATTGCATTATAGAAGCTGCTACCTTATAATTTCAGAGGTAACATATTAACACAATTATATTTTAAGGTAACATTTTTGGGTCCTTCTTACATTGCTAATGGGTGCAAGCACAGGTAAAAAGAGCAGTCAATTTTGCAACATGTGGGCTGGGCACGGTGGCTCACACCTGTTATCCCACAAATTTGGGAGGCCGAGGTGGGAGGATCACTTTGAGTCCAGGAGCTCAAGACCAGCCTGGGCAAGATGGCAAAACCTAGTCTTTTAACAAAAATACAAAAATTAGCCAGGAGTGGTGGCACGTGTCTTATAGTTACAACTACTCGGGAGGTTGAGGTGGGAGGATGGTTTGAGCCTGGGAGACAGAGGTTTCAGTGAGCTGAGATCACACCATTGCACTCCAGCCTGGGCGACAGAGTCAGTCCCTGTCTCAAAAAACAAAAACAAAAAAGCCCCACAATTCTGCAATATGTATCAGGAGCCTCAAATACTTCCTCCTTTAACTCAGTAATTCTACATCTAGAAATTTCAACTGAAGAAATTATCATAGATGGGAATTTGTAAATTAAGATGTTTATTAAAGCACTATATAGGATATCAAGTTTTTAATTATGTAAATGTGCAGCTGAGAATGGTTCAAAAATTATTGTGCATCTGGATAAATTATTATGCAGTAATTCAAAATTCCTGTTTTTAAAAAATAGTTAATGACCTGAGATGATCTGAAACTAAATAATGAAGTTTATCACAAGTGTTGTATCCCTACCAAAAATATTTAGCCTAAATCTAATCATGAGGAAACAATCAGAAAAATCCAAAAGAAGAGAGATTCTTAAAAAACTAATCTCATCAAAATGCCAACAACATTAAGACAGAGAAAAAAAGAAATTGTTCCGGATTAGAGACTAAAGAGTCAGGGCAACCAATGTAATAAATGATCCTTCACTGGATCCAGAACCAAAAAAAAAAAAAAAATTAAAGAAGTTACGAAGTTACCAGTTACTTTCATTGTAACACATTCTGTAAATACAAACACCTCTTCTTTTTTAAACCATCTAAACTTGACACAGACTTGAGTATCATAACAAAAACATCTTAGGTAAAGTTTTTCCCACCTCACTCAGCCCAACAGGATGCTTCTGTACTTATAGGTTTATTTACTTGAACAAATTCTGGACATCTACAAACCCCATATACTGTCTTGTCCGCAGCGGGCAGCAACAAAATGAGGAAGAAATAGAAATGTCGGAGGTGGGCGACTTCTCCAAGGTCACTCACTCCTCACCAAAGTGGGCTCCGGCTCTGCCATCCAGGCGGCCTTTCCATTCTTGAACTGTTCTCGGCATCTCGGCAACCAAAGAAGATCCAGAGTTGGAGAGGTGGGCAAACCTACTGTACACATCACTTACCCTGTGCAGGCAGGGACCTGAGGAGTTATTAACGACCTGGAAACTTTCAGGGCAGCTGAGACTCTCCTACAAAAAAGGGCCAAACCTCCCGCAGCCATGTTTTCGCATAACTAGGCAAACCGCGTTTCCGCCAACGATGGCGTCACTTCCGGCGTCTCAAGCCGTCCGTGAAGGGACTAGAAACTTGCCCTCACTTAAGATGGCCACTTCCTGGCTTTGTCCTCATTGGTAAATTGGCTCTCTCAGCTTCCGTGACCCGCCCCCATTTTTCCTGTTGCTCGTAGTAGCCATGGCGGGCATGAGTTTGTTGCGACGGGTTTCGGTTACTGCGGTGGCAGCGCTTTCTGGCCGCTCCCTTGGCACTCGACTCGGATTTGGGGGCTTCCTCACTCGTGGCTTTCCGAAGGCTGTTGGTGGGTGCTGGCCTTGGGAGAACGGGCGTGAAGCGGGTGCAGGGCGAGAAAAGAGAGGACGCTTCCAGGGTGACCTTGGTGGGATCCGGAGGGAGCCGGGACAAATTGTGGGCTTGGGGCTTGAGAGGAGAGACGGAGCGCGAGCTATAGGAGGGGTTTTCCTGAAGTAGTCTGATCGATCGCGTTTACATTATTAGCATTTCTAAAACGTTGTTATTCACCATCTCAATGCTAATTTGCGGATGAAGCTGAGTATAGGAAGCTATAGAGCTGAGACCTGTATCTCTAGGTCACAAGCTTATTGTTGCGTTCCACCTGCCCAAAGGCTGGGTTCTAGTCCCACATATGCAAAGTCATGTTGCTGAGAAGCCCACCTATGCTAAGGAATATGAAGACAGGTAATATGTAGACAGGTAAAGAGGCTCAGGGCCAACTTATTCTGTAGGCACAGTAAGTACGGTGCCGCCCAATAATGAGATGCAGATGGACTGGGGGGGAAGAGAGGTTTTTTTTGTTTTCTTTGTTTTTTGAGACAGTCTCACTTTGTCACCCAGGCTGGAGTGCAGTGGCGCGATCTTGGCTCACTGCAACCTCCGCCTCCTAGGTTCAAGCGATTCACCTGCCTGAACTCATGATAGTTTTAGGGGTCCACGAAAGTGTTTTAATTTAAATTTCTTTTTTAAAAAGATCATAATGTTTATGAATATGATAACGAATCTAGCCTGTATTATATTCGTTTTATACCAATGCAGTCATAAAATACGATTTTTGGTAACTTAGAGGAAGGGGCCCTTGAAGGCAAAAGTGCCTAGGTCTCAGGAAAGTCATAATACAGTCTTTTTGTTTGTTTGTTTTGAGACAGTCTCACTCTGTCACGCAGGCTGGAGTGCAGTGGCACCGTCTTGGCTCACTGCCCGGGTTCAAGCCATTCTCCTGCCTCAGCCTCCCAGTAGCTGAGACTACAGGTGCACACCACCACACCTGGCTAATTTTTGTATATTTAGTAGAGATGGGGTGTCATCATGTTGGCCAGGCTGGTCTCGAACTCCTGACCTCAAATGATCCGCCTGCCTCAGCCTCCCAAAGTGCTGGGATTATAGGCGTGAGCCATTGCACCTGACCAATACAGTCTTAACAGGGTTATTTAGACCTAGTGAGTTGCATTATGGCGGTGTGAATAATCATAGCAAAGCATCAAATGCTTGGTATTCGGTGCATTTTATTATCTCAAAGACTGTGCAAAGAAATTACAATGTTATTTTCATTTTACAGATGAGGAAACTGACTCAATTATTAAATAATGTGTCACTGTACTAAATGATAATGACAGCCAACATTTACTGAGCACCTGTTATGTGTCAAGCATCATTTTCCTTTTTTTTCCAAGACGGAGTCTTGCTGCATTGCCCAGGCTGGAGTGCAATGGTGTGATCTTGGCTCACTGCGACCTCTGCCTCCTGGGTTCAGGCAATTCTTCTGCCTCAGCCTTCTGAGTAACTGGGTTTACAGGTGCATGCCTCCATGCCGGGCTAATTTTTTTTTTTTTTTGTAGAGATGGGGTTTCACCATGTTGGCCAGTCTGGTCTCGAACTCCTGACCTCGTGATCCACCCACCTCGGCCTCCCAAAGTGCTGAGATTACAGGCGTGAGCCACCGCACCTGACCTCAAGCATCATTTTAAGGGTTTAAAGTATTAATTTATTTAATCCTCCTCATTAAATATATACTGTGAGCTATTTGCCCTGTGCAATAGAAACAGGTAAAGAGGAAGTGAAACTTTAAAGTCAAAAAGTTGTCTCCAGCCTCAAAATATCTTGTTCTGTTTTTACCCTTATTCTCCCAATTTAATTTGAATTATGCCACTCCACAGGATGGGGCAATATACATAGGGATTTGCTCGAAACATGATGCAAAGAACCAGTGGTATTTAACAGATTTCCAGCAGGAATTTGAACTTGTTACAAAATTACATATGCTAACATTCCTTGATGAAAATCCCTTTTAAGTTTTTTCTGATTACAAATATCCTCATATAGCCAAATACAAATACTTCAAATACTCACCCTGGTAGTACTCAATCAAATCTAGCTGGAGATAAACTGTAGCAAAATTTCACCCCCAGTTTCTCTTTCTACATTATTGCCCTTTCTTGGGGTTCTCAAAGAATCATTACCGTGTTCTGCGCCCTTTCCAGTCAGAGCAGGAAAGGATCTAATAGCTATCTTTACTAAAGGTTACTATGTTTTCTGCTGTGTACCTGCTTTCAAAGGTATTTTGCAACTGTCACTGTGATATGAAAGGTTTTAATCTCTTATATGGTTGTTTGTATCTGTCCCTACAAGAATGTAAGCTCTAGTGTAGTAGACAACCTGTCTTGTCTTGTTTTCTCTGGAGATAGACTGCCTATCTTCAAATTCTGGCTCTAGAATTTAGAAGCCATGTCTGTGATCATCACATCTTGGAAGCTAAAGTGGAAGACACCTAATTGCTCATAACCTGCGTTTCCTCCTCTTTAAAAAAGATGAGAATTTTAACCTGCCTCAAAAGGTAGTTGTGAAGAGTGAGTGGAAAAAATCAACAGTGCCTGGCAGCAGTAACCTTTAAGAAAATTGTGGTAAAGTACACATAACATTTACCATTTTAACCATTTTTAAGTGCACCGTTCAGTGGTATTAAATACATTCCTAATGCTATGCAACCATCACCATCATCCGACTCCATAACTTTTTTCATATGGTAAAACTAAAACTCCGTATCCGTTAAACAATAACTCTCCATTCCCCTTCCACGTAGACCCTGGTAACCACCATTCTGCTGTCTTTATGATTTTGACTACTCTCTTTCTCATGTTAAGTAGAATCATAAAATATTTGTCTGTCACTTAGCATAATATCCCAAGGCATATTTATGTTGTAGCATATGTCAGAATTTCCTTCTTTTTAAAGCTGAATTGTCCATTGTCCATTGTATGTATTTACCCCATTTTGCTTATCCATCATCTGTCAGTTGGGTTGCTTCAGGTTTTTTTTGTGTTTGTTTGTTTGAGACAGAGTCTTGCTGTGTCTTCCAGGCTAGAGTGCAGTGGCACGATCTTGGCTCACCGCAACCCCTGGCTTCCAGTGTTCTCGTATCAAACTGAGGGTCAGACTGCTATTTCTTGCTGCCCAATAATGAGATGCAGATGAACTGGGGAGGAAGAGAGGGTTTTTTTTTTTTTTTTTTTTTGACTTAGTCTCATTCTGTTGCCCAGGCTAGAGTGCAGTGGTGCGATCTCAGCTCACTGCAACCTCCACCTCCTGGGTTCAAGTGATTCTCTTGCCTCAGTCTCCTGAATAGCTGGAATTACAGGTGCATGCCACACCACGCCCGGCTGATTTTTGTATTTTTAGTAGAGATGGGGTTTCACCATGTTGGCCAGGCTGGTCTTGAACTCCTGGCCTCAGGTGATCCGCCCGCCTTGGCCTCCCAAAGTGCTGGGATTATAGACATGAGCCACCACGCCTGGCCAGAGAGAGTTTTTATTCCTGTAACCGGTTACAGGGAGAAGTCCTGGAAATTATCGCCAGACCAACTTAAAATTACGGTTTTCCAGAGCCCGTAGACCTTTTAAGCTGTATGTCTACATGTAAGTGTGCACTCATCTAAAGACATAAGTGACTAACTTTTTAAAATCTATAATTAACGTCTGAGTCCTGAAGACCTTCCTCTGGAGCCTTAGTAAATTTACTTAATTTAAATGGGTCCCGGTGCTGGGGTGATTACCCTTATCTTGTCTCCTGCTAAATCATGGAGGTTTGGGAAGTTCCTTCAGACCCCCAGTAAACTTGTTTGTGGAGGCCTGGGGAGTTTCTTCATACCCACAATAAAACGTGTTTAATCCTAAATGGGTTCTGTTAAGAATTCCTTCGAACTCCTGTCCTCAAGTGATCCACCTGCCTTGGCCTCTTAAAAGTGTTGGGATTACAGCTGTGAGCCTACACCCAAGCACTTGCAGATTTTAATTACTGTAAAGCTTCACTTAACATCATTGGCTTTTGAAACTGCAACCCTCAGAACCTATAATAAAGATGGAAATGATATTGTTTAAGGACCTGCTGTATGTGGTTTCACTTAAAGTCACAGTTTCCAAGAACTTATCAGTGACATTGAGTGTGACTTGTTTTGTGAATAATGTTTCTGTGAACATGGATGTACAAATATCTCTTCTGAGACCCCGCTTTCAATTCTTGTGGGTGTATCTGCAGAAGTGTAATTGCTGGGTCATGTGTGTCATGGGTGTCACTGGCTGGGACTGGCATTGTGGGTGGTAAAAGAATTTACCAAGACAGTCATAGGTAAAGAGGACAGATTTGTTAGAGAAAATACAAAGATAAAGTTGCAAGAGAACAGTGGGCAGCACAGCAGAGAAGGGGCTATCTGCAGAATCAGGGGCTACAGGGAAGTTTTGTAGGGTCATACTGACGGGACTATGAGCAGAGAAGGTGTGCAGATAAGGTCACTCTGCTGGGGCTATGTGTTGAATGAGGTATTTGGAAACAGGATGTTGTGCCCGTGGGTCGCCTGTGATTAGCCGTGTCTCAGCAGAATTGCTTTCCTCCTCCTGGGGCCCCTTACTTGTTGCTTATGTATCTTACTAGGATTCCACAATATGGTAATTCTGTTTTTAATTTTTTGAGGAACCCTCATGCTATTTTCCATAGCAGCAATACCATTTTA